ATAATCTGATCTTTGTTATTTGTTTTGAAATGGCATATTTACCGTACGTTACAATCTTTTATTTACTCTTTTTGAAATGCTTTATTGTGTCTGTTCCTTCAGTTATTATTAGCACAATATTTTAATACTGAATATTTATAATCTTCCTTTTGTACCTACTTTTCCAGAATTTATTTGCTATTTCTGCTATTCTTCTAGATTTTATACAGTAAGATATATTTTGAATCTCCCAAATGGGGATATGACATGTATTATTTCCTGTGCTTGTTGAAATATGGAATTCTTTCAACAGTAGAGTAAGAATTTTTCTTTTCTGAGGCTGATAGTCTATAAAGGGCAGTTTGAGGAATGCCGCTCTAATATTTTAACAGTAAACATCACGCTGACTGTTGGTTAAAAAGAAGACATCTAAAATATTAAAGAAGTATTGTTCTATTCCTATTTTTCTAATTTTTTAAAAAATAAGAAAAGAGATTACACTCAGCATCTATTGAGAAGACTCGTTTTTCTCCCTTGACCTGTTAATATAATGAATTTATGTCCAGAATTTAATTCTCATGATGAACCATCTATACATTCCTATTATAAACGATCTGTATTTAGGGCATGTTATTATTTTGATATATTTCTAGATTTGCTAAACAAGGATTTTTTCATCTATATTTGTGCAATTAGTTTGCAGTTATCTTTATCATGTCTTGATTTTAGGTGGTTAAACTTCTTAAAATAAAATGAAACACTTTTTTCTTTTCTGAAACGATTAAATTTAATAGAAACAATCAGTTTCTCGAGTTGGAAGTAGCTTGCAGGGGAACTCATACTTCCCCCCTCTCTGTGGGGGCTGCTCTTTGATATTCAGTTTCTTCTCCATGTGCTGGCCACGGGACCGCCTGGGGCAAAGGGTGCCTGTTCCAGTTTCGAGAGCGGGGAAAGTTCTGAATCTTTCTAAATTTCTCCGTCATCATCTGAACAAACAAGAATAGTAACAGAACCTACATCATAAGGTTGTGGAGACAATAAAAGTAACACGCTTAGTGATAAAGCCCCTGATACTGGAAAGTGCTGGATAAACGTTAGCCGTTTTCTCACTCTTGGCCTATTCAGATGTGCTCTCCTTTCAGGTTTCAGTCTTAGTAACTAGACTATGTCTAGACAATCAGCCTTTTCACTGAGAGTTGAACACATTGCCATACAGTCATTCGCGGTGTTTGCTTACTATTTTTAAAAGCATTTTCTACACCTGTGGTTTCGGTTCCTTTCTAATTCTTAGTAATGTGTGTTTTTCCCTCTTTTTTCTTGATTAGTTTTGTTTGCAGTTTGTTTGTTTTATTATTATTTTAAAAAGTTATTTATGGTTGAAGGTATTACAGATGTCCCCCTTTTTCCCCCCACTGGCCCTCCACC